ATTTTCTCTCTTCTTTTCCGCTCAATTCTAGTTTATTAGATTCTTGTTTAAAAGAATCAAAGAAGATGAATAGAACTAAGAACACATAAAAAAGAGCATAGAGAACCATTACCAAACGTTCCTCCTAAGAATCATATTGGGTATCTGTCCCCTTCCTTTTAACCCTAGGATCGAAAATCTAGAATCCTCCCTTTTCCTAGTGTTCGGAAACGGAAAACCCTGAACCTGGAGGAGTTAAATGTCAGTACTTTTATGGTGTTACTTAGTATGGAATCCTATATATATTGATCTTCTAGTACCTCTGCTCTCATTTTCAATCTATTTAATTTGTTCTTAAGAGTATCTAATATTGTTAATGCCAATCAGACCATTTTCTCCTATATATATGTTCGTCCTCATATTCACAGCGTTAGCCGAAAGAAGCTTTTCAAATTTCAATGTTAAAGTTATCCAAGAAATATCTGATGTCTACGATGACCTAAGAAAGGCTAAACGAATGGTGGCTTCACATCAACAAATGTTAGAATAAACTTTACAACAGTATGTAGATATTGTTTGCTAACATCGCTTTTGGATGGATTTAAGTGTTTACGTGTGACACTACAAATATATAAAGGAGTATCTATAATAACAATAATTTATTTTTTTATAAAGACACTCCTCACATCTGATATATCTTAAGAAACAAATGCTAATATAAAAGATGGACAGCAAGACATAAAACCACCTCTTGAATAAGAGTGCATCAAAGACCAAATCAAACGTCTTCTTCCTTCGATCGTCTAGTACTTGCTAGAGTTTGAATATCACACTGAAAAACAGCAAAGAAAAGAGACACCTGCAAACACTCTCACCAAAACAAGGCTTTGAAGACTGCAAAAGCCACTCACCGCTGACAGCGAGATCTAGCCTCACTGAAAAACATCAGCTAAAGGATCCATTGAAAAAACATCAGCTAAAAGATTCCTCTAAAGAACACATAGTTATTCCACTACTCCCTCTGTTCCAAATTATAAGTTGTTTTGGCTTTTCTAGATTTATAAGTTTTACTATGTATATTTAGACAAGTAGACATAATGTATATCTCGATGCATAACAAAAGCTATGCATTAAAAAAAGCTAAAACGACTTATAACTTGAAATGGAGGGATTATATTAAGAAGGGCATGTCTATTGTTTCGCTATAGACATTCAAATCCGGAACTTGAAGATAAATAAAATATGCTATAGAAGATTGAAGATTTGGTCGAAAAAATCAGGAAAGCGTATCTGGTTGTGGGCCTTTATCATTTTCTTTTTCTCCCTTCATTTTAGCGGTTTGTGGCATGTGGGCAAGTAGGGGCGGGCTGGCGGCCAATGGCACATGGAAACAAATTCATATGAAACTATCATCAAAATCATCAAGGAGTGCAATTTGGACGGTATTGATTACCCTCCCAAATAATAGATCGTTTAAGCTTGTAAACCGAGCGTCATTGAGTTGCTTACCTAGTTCTTTTTTTTGGTGGAACAAGTTTATTTGAATTCAAATTCCGGGTTTAGCACTGATGTTCATATTTTTCTATATTTATTCTAAAATTTAGCTACACTATCCTTTCAGTCGTAGACGATGTATGTGCCCATTGTTGGAAGGCACCTATGACGATTTTCTGTAAAAGAAAATTCTATATTTCTAATAATATTTTTAGATGGACGAATTAACATCTATATGTTCAAAATATATACTATCAAGTTATTTCATGAAAAATTTAATGAAAACTCATTTGATGCTATAGCCTACTCTGCTAGAGCCCAAACACACTTAGCAAGATTGCATTTCAAAAGGGCGTGCCTCCACGAATCGGCTGCTCCACACAGACCACATCGTGCATCCGCGGCCATATTCCGATGGTGACGCCACATCTCCTGTAGGAATAGAATGTCTAGCCAAGCGCCACAAGAAAACCCGAACCTTCGAGGGGACCTTGGTCCTCCATAGCTAGGTCCAGTATTTCTCCTGTGCACTAACATTAGACCTGTCTGGTCTCCCTTCGGCCCAAGCCGCTAGCATCTCCTGGCTTTTTACTAGCATTCTGTAAGCTGAACTTGCTGAGAAGACTCCTGATTTTTCATAGTGCTCGACCCAGTAATCATCCTGTAGACTTGTACTCAATGGAATACTTTCTATCAGCTCCCAGTCCAATGGACTAAGAAAATCTCGCACTGTCTGCATGTTCCAACTCCGGGACGTTTAATCAATTAGCTCGCTCACCACCAGCGGTGAACCCGCTCTCGCTGTCCCATCGGTCGCATCAATCCGTCCCTTGGGATCCACGGCATATCCCATATACGTGTCGATGTAAAATGGGAACTTCATGGAGCTATGTAATCGAGAAGTCCATCTAAAAAAACAAACAAATAAAGGCCACGGTAGGCGCAAAAATTGCGTCGCCTCACCTGCCTATCCAGCCTGGCGTCTAGATGTTTAGATCCGGAATTAAAGTTTAGTAGATATCACATCGGATGTTTAGGTATTAATTAGAAAGACTAAACATGAGTCTAGTTAGGCTTAGTAGATTTGTCTCGTAAATTACAGCCTGTTCGCTGGTTGGTTTCTCGGCTGAAAAGCCCGGCTGGTGCTGGTTTGTTGTGAGAGGAAAACACTGTTTACTGGCTAATAAGCCCTGACTGAAACCAACAGTGTTACCCTGTCGTGCTCGGCCGTGGTAGGCAAGACTGGTGAGTGGTCGACTCACCTGAGTCGGTGATCCTGTGGGCTAACACTTTAAGCTGTAGAGATCGTGTGCTCTGTAATTCATGGTCCATCAATTAGTGGGCTTAGTAATTGAGGCTGAGACCCCAAATATATATGGGCCAGTTATTCACTAATTAGGCTTTGGCTTGGGTTAGAACTTAGTAGTATTTTCATTCCTGTTATCTCTAAATAATGTAGCAATTGTGTTTTCAGACCTGCTTGTTCCTTATCTGGATCACACTGAAATCAAAAGGGTAGATGGAATAAGTAATGCTACGATAGGCTCGTTTAACTTATTTTGATGATTAATTATGCTGGGTACTACCTGCCGAATGCTTATCCTTGCCAACAAAGTTTGCCCCAGGCCTTCCAAATTTCTCTCTGCATGTGGAATTATTGATCTGGTAGGCCTGTGCTATACTTCGCAGTAGAGGGTGTGTTTTTCTTTCTGCGACATTAGTAAGTCGTGAATGCTCCTCCAGTGTATTGTGCAGGGATTTTATTTGCCAATGAAATATCGATGGAAGCCTGGTTGTGGTCACGTACTGACACAAATTTGTGTAACATGCAAAATTTCAGTAATCACATGACAGTGCTCCTGCCTTGTTTTTTGAGTGGGATTGGTTATATTTCTATATACCTGTACGATTCTGCAAAATGTGATGCTGAAGTAGAACACAACCTTTTTTCTTTGAAAAAATAGTGAAGTTTCATTCTGACACTCAGTTTAAATATTGGTGGCGTTCATAGATGGCTTATGTTAGGTCTGTGATTCTGTGCTCTGTTTTGTAATCGGCTGTATGACCTTCTCAAATCCTTCATATATGTATTATGTTGTATTTCGGACCTGTACAAATAGTTTCTTTCTTGTTTTTGTTAAAATTATTGTTGAGTTATGGACATTTTAAGTATAGTTTTCTGGAGTTGCACAAGATAATTGATTTAATTCTGTTGCAATTTCCTCCCTGTTTTTTGTAATCCTTTGTCATGACTAATTTATAAATTTGCTTGAACAATGTTCGGATATGCATTTCTCTGGCTGATAAGATTATTTGTTGTGTACTACTTTATTTAGTCAGAAGTGGAATCATCAGAGAGGTTACGAAGCGTTCACTCTTTCTTAGGTCTTTTAGGTGCGACGCCTCTAATTTTTGCGATACAAGGTCTGGGATCCACTACAATTGTAAGGCTTCTACTCAACAATGGAGCCAATCTAAACAAAGCAGATAACAGTGGGGTTGCTCGGCTCCATATCGCTGTAGAAAGAGGTTCTTTGCCCATGCATTTGTGTTGTGCATTTTTTGCTTAGATGCTATTTCAGCTCTCTTTTTGATCTATCTATCCACATCTCTGTGTTGTCATATATATGAGTCTAATTAGATTGAATAGATTCGTTTTATAAATTAGTATTAATTTGTGTAATTGATTTTATAATTAGTCTACTTTTAGGTTTCGCTTGACAGAGCTTCACTTCACTAGTGAAGTCATTTTTTTTTTGGCTTCAGCTCCACGAACAGCTCCACCAGTGAAGCTGAAGCGGTTTTGGTAAACTATTTGACAAAATGGCTTTCCTGTGAGAGCATGTTTTTAGAGACCTGGAGGAGGAGCCGGGAGAAGCCAGTTTTTTTGGCTCTATCCCACTCCAAATCACTGTGAGATCATGTTTTTAAGGGCTTCACCAGTGAAGTTATTTCACTTTACCCTGTTTGGCAGAAAACGGTTCCAAACGGCTTCTGAAACCGGTGGAGAAGCCCTGTCAAACGGAGCCTTATACTCCGTGCATGTGTCGGCACTAAGGCCCCGTTTGGCAGGGCTTCACTTCACTAGTGAAGCCATTTTTTTTGATTCAGCTCCACGAACAGTTCCCCCCGTGAAGCTGAAGCGGTTTTGGTAAACCGTTTGACAAAATGGCTTACCTGTGAAAGCATGTTTTTAGAGGTCTGAAGGAGAAGCCAGGAGAAGCCACTTTTTTTTTTTTTTTGCTCCATCCCACCCCAAATTATTATAAAAGCATATTTTTAGGGGCTTCACCAGTGAAGCTATTTCACTTAAACCCATTTAACATAAAATAGCTCCAAGCACTGCCAAGCGGACCTAAATTTTAGCAGTACTACGGAGGCAGAAGCACAGGCACTCCGACTCCGGCACTCCCTGGTTTCCCGCTCATTTCCCATTCTTCCCCCATCCCGCATAGCCTCCAACAAGGCAACAACTCTCCAAACCCTAGCCTTCTCGATTTCGAGAGCCCCGCGAGGTCGAGCCCGCCATGGCCCCCACCCGCTCCACCTCCGACCCGCGCTCCGTGTGGTCCTCCTCCTTGCGGCCGCCACTCGACCTCCAGCCCGTGGTCCTGCCAGAAGACGACGACGACGACGGCGACGACGATCGGGCGGTCGCGGAGCTCCTCAACGCGGCACTGGAGGGCGACCTCTCCCGCTTTAAGAGTAAGGCTCTCGATCGGTTCCCCGCTCGTCGATTCGCTAGGGTTTTGGTCTCCATCTGACGCGGGTTTTGGTCCGTCTGTGTTTTCGGTGGGATTTTATTTGTGGTGACGTGCAGAGCTGGTGAAGGAGCTGGGCGAGGCGGGGAAGGGCGTGGACGAGGCGGTGGCGGCCGCAGCCGTCGGCGTGACGGGGACCAAGCGCCGCGGGCCTCTCCACATGGCCGCCGCGAACGGGAACTCGGAGATGTGCCGGTTCCTGATCAAGACTTGCGACGTCGATGTCAATGCGACCGATTCTGATGGTAATTGTTACTGTTTCTGTTTCGTTCTGCCTTTCGTTAGATTGGGTGCGATGTGCTGTTGAATCGTGCTGTTTCCGCGAGCTTTTGGGTTGGGTGCTGCTCAGGGTCGAGAGGGAGTCAGGGAGATGCGTTGCCGTGCCTGTGTGTTAGTGAGGAATTAAGAGGAACTTTAAGCTGTAGAGATCGTGTGCTCTGTAATTCATGGTCCATCAATTAGTGGGCTTAGTAATTGAGGCTGAGACCCCAAATATATATGGGCCAGTTATTCACTAATTGGGCTTTGGCTTGGGTTAGAACTTAGAAGTATTTTCATTCCTGTTATCTCTAAATAATGTAGCAATTGTGTTTTCAGACCTGCTTGTTCCTTATCTGGATCACACTGAAATCAAAAGGGTAGATGGAATAAGTAATTCTACGATAGGCAGGTTTAACTTATTTTGATGATTAATTATGCTGGGTACTACCTGCCGAATGCTTTCCTTGTATCCTTGCCAACAAAGTTTGCCCCAGGCCTTCCAAATTTCTCTCTGCATGTGGAATTATTTCTCTGGTAGGCCTGTGCTATACTTCGCAGTAGAGGGTGTGTTTTTCTTTCTGCGACATTAGTAAGTTGTGAATGCTCCTCCAGTGTATTGTGCAGGGATTTTATTTGCCTGTGAAGTATCGATGGAAGCCTGGTTGTGGTCACGTACTGACACAAATTTGTGTAACATGCAAAATTTCAGTAATCACATGACGGATGCTCCTGCCTTGGTTTTTGAGTGGGATTGGTTATATTTCTATATACCTGTACGATTCTGCAAAATGTGATGCTGAAGGCCTGAAGTAGAACACAACCTTTTTTCTTTGAAAAAATAGTGAAGTTTCATTCTGACACTCAGTTTAAATATTGGTGGCGTTCATAGATGGCTTATGTTAGGTCTGTGATTCTGTGCTCTGTTTTGTAATCGGCTGTATGACCTTCTCAAATCCTTCATATATGTATTATGTTGTATTTCGGACCTGTACAAGTAGTTTCTTTCTTGTTTTTGTTAAAATTATTGTTGAGTTATGGACATTTTAAGTATAGTTTTCTGGAGTTGCACAAGATAAATGATTTAATTCTGTTGCAATTTCCTCCCTATTTTTTGTAATCCTTTGTCATGACTAATTTATAAATTTGCTTGAACAATGTTCAGATATGCATTTCTCTGGCTGATAAGATTATTTGTTGTGTACTACTTTATTTAGTCAGAAGTGGAATCATCAGAGAGGTTACCAAGCGTTCACTCTTTCTTATGTCTTTTAGGTGCGACGCCTCTAATTTTTGCGATACAAGGTCTGGGATCCACTACAATTGTAAGGCTTCTACTCAACAATGGAGCCAATCTAAACAAAGCAGATAACAGTGGGGTTGCTCCGCTCCATATCGCTGCAGAAAGAGGTTCTTTGCCCATGCATTTGTGTTGTGCATTTTTTGCTTAGATGTTATTTCAGCTCTCTTTTTGATCTATCTATTCATATCTCTGTGTTGTCATAGATACCTTTTCTTTGTTCCAAACAGTTTGTGGTATTTGGTCAGAATATGTTTTTCCCCGCAACATTGTAATTTTTTTGTGGCTATATGGGTTGCGGTTGCGGAAACACTTTAACTGGGACTAGTATCCAGCACTGCAGTTCATCAAGAGCCGATTGAAACCATCGTTTACACTCACATTGTGTTCATTCATCAGATGCCATGTTGGATAGTACTATGAACAACTTACAACTGCATAAACACAATATAGATGTAACTTGATATATACTTGGACTGGATTGGACCTGAAAAGGTTGTAACATGTCTTAATTGCTTCAACCTGGCATTACCTTAAATGAACACCAGACCATCAATTCACAATAGGAGATACAGTAATTGAAATCTGAATCCTGTACTAAGGGGGTTCCTTGAGTGGGAACATGTTGTTTTTTTAGGTTGGATAGAATATTGTCATTAAAATAAAATTAAGTCTTTTTCCTAGGCTTAAGCATTGGTCAAAAGGGCACCTACAGGTCTTCATTGCAGACTTTCATTATGTTTTCGTATTGTCACTTTTGATTGTAGGTTCATAGAAATTATGGCTCATGGTGATGATTGCCTTTTAGTTGCAAAGTTCATTTTTCTGAATATTATATGTTTTTGTGGTATAATCATTGATTCATTTCCATGAATTTTCATGAATTTCATCCAGTTTTTTATGAAGTAGCAGAGCTGTTATTGTCCAAGGAAGCTAAGGTTGACCTTATGTGTGAAAATGGTGGGGCGCCAATACATATTGCTGCTGAAAATGGACATGCTAAAATGCTGAAGCTATTGTTGCAGCATAAAGCAGGCGTAATAACTTCATGCTTCCCTACTGTTGTTTAATCTTTTCATCGATACTATATGGGGTGGAGTTTAGTATTTTACCCTTATTTCGGGCTAAAATTGCTCATCTTGGTAGATTCTTCCCTTGATGTTTTTCCCCCCTCAATAAACAGCATCAGAAGCTTTATATACTTAGCCCAGCCATGGCGGCTAGAATGCTATTTTTCCTTGCTTTACTGGCCAACTCAAGGAGTACAGTTTAGAACACCACCCAACTACACAAGTGAATCTAGGGTAATTAGCAAAGTTTCCTCAGTGATGCAATTTGTTGGTATTTAGTGTTTATTGTCATTCCGCCTGTGACTGGAAGGTCCCGGGTTCGAGTCGCGGTCTCCTCGCATTGCACAGGCTAGGGTAAGGCTTGCCACTTACACCCTTCCCCAGACCCCGCACAGAGCGGGAGCTCTCTGCACTGAATACGCCCTTTTTAGTGTTTATTGTCATTGCTTGGTAGCCTGTTTAGTGCTATACGAACCAAATATTGTTTTCTTTGAAAGTATCATGACACTAGTCTATTTAATGTACTTATTTCATAGCTAGGAGCAATTTTTGAGTAAAATACTGCTTGTCTTAAAATCTGAAGTCCAACATCTTACCTTGAATAAAAAAATATTCCTATCTTGTCACAGTGATAATGAAAAGAAGGAATTGAAAATGGGCTGGCCGAAGTGTTCATGTACCTGTTCACTTTTTTCACATGACTTGCCAGGGATAATGGGAGTTATGAGCACATGTGCAGTGTCTAGACTCTGCCAATCGCATATACAATTGTTATTCTCATATGTGACCTCAGTGTTGTATAATGATTTCCCAAATTCTCTTTGTACTTTTGTATATTGGTTATTCCTTGAGCTCTCTCATGTTTAATTTTGGTTATTCCTTGAGCTGTCTCCTGTTTAATTTTTAATTGTCCTTGATATTGCTTCTTAACAGGATGGTAAACTACCAGTTCAAATAGCTGCATGCCAAGGATGGAAGGAATGCGTAGAGATTCTTTTCCCTGTCACAACTCCTTTGGCTGAATATGCAACCTGGAGCATTGATGGAATAATTCAGCATGAGAAAACTGCGAGTTCAGAACCACAAGTAAGAATAAATATTTCTCTTTTTCTACTGAATGGCAGTTGTATTGATGTTGGTAGTTGTTTTGCAGATCGCTAAAATATCCTATTACTATTTTCGTGCATTGTAGATAATGCAATTTATGTTCTATTTGATTTTCACTCTGTGATTTTTGCATGCCTGCACAAAGTGTATGAAAATTGGCATTATAGTTTTTCCCCAATATATGCTAAATTGAGGAAAAACCTTATCTTCTTGCATAATCTCAGTATACTCCAATCGTGATATATCTCGTGATATCAATTAGCTCTTCATGCTGTGTTTTCTGACTGGGAATGCATATTGGTTCATCCTGAGTTCCTGATGAGCTAGGTTATGTTACACGAGATAATTTCCTTATCAGTGGTCTAATTGTTGAACTTTGGGTTACCACTTTCCTATTCCAACCTTGTTGTAGAAGAGACTACATTTACAAGTGCATTCCCTGATGCCCAGAATTACTTATCTACCATACCTAAATTGTTTGCATCTAGACAGCTGCAGGTTTCGGATTTAATTGCACTACAACTCACTACGTAAAAAACGATTTTTAGCAACGGATCGATTTTTTTGTAGGGGCGGCTGGTGATGGAGCCACCCCTACAGTGGCGTGCTCGGGTGCCCAGACACCAGCCGCCCCTACAAATGGAACAGCAGGGGCGGCTGGTGTTACGAGCCGCCCCTACAAATAGGGTCTGATTTGTAGGGGCGGCTCAATCACCAGCCGCCCCTAGAAATTATATTTGTAGGGATGGCTGGTGATTGAGCCGCCCCTAAAAATGGCACCGTATTTATAGCTCCTATTTGTAGGGGCGGCTCAATCACCAGCCGCCCCTACAAATGGCCCCCATATAAATCTGAGGCAGCGCCTTCTTCCTCCTCGGGTCACTCACTCCAACCCGTGAAAGAAAGGTGGGGAGGCCTTAGGCACCTCCCAAAAATTGCTCTACTAAGGGGGGAAGGTTTTGGTCTCAAATCCTTTGGTGGAGAGGTTGTAGAAGGTAAGAAAATGCTATTCCACACTTTTTTTGAAGTTTTAATGGTTGATTAGTGAATAATTAAAGTTTTGTTTTTCTCTCTCTTCTATGGTGCTTGAGCTATTTATGAGCAAATTAGACCCAACTTTTAAATGTACTAGGGTAAATTAGGGAGGGGAACAAGACCATACCCTTATTTGGTCCATGTTTCTTGATTTTAGTGAACCATTAGTTAGTTTTATGGATGTTTCATGTGCATGTGATCTAGATCTAGGGTTTGGTTTTTTTATTAATTTCGTTTTTGTAAATTTATGTTTGATAAAATTGGACTAGGGTTTGTACGAAAGATATTGGGTAAAGTATAATTATTGCTAATTGTTGTCTTTGAAATTGTTTATTGTAATCAATAAATATGTATTTTAATTATTTATGGATAAATGGGCCATTAATTAATTTTCCTCTACCATGGTGTGTTTGTATGCTTCATGTAATTATATTAGATTTATATTCATATATATCTGAGGTATATACAATTATTCTCAAATAATTATTACTTTGATTAATTTTTATATATATCTGAATAAGTAGTCCTTTAATGTTTGTTTTGTTGTTGTTGTAAAAGATGGAGTATAGGAACTCTTCATGTATGGTTCGTTAAGGTTCAAGGCAGGTTTCCGTGAAAAGGTGGATAAATTTATTGAAGCCGCAACGAAGCATGCATAGATATCATACAAGCATACTTTCCCACCGGCACATTTGGAAGCCCAGCCGGGAAAATTGTCTTTGACTTCAATGACATACACACATGCTTTCACTTGGGAGAAATGGAGATGAATCTAATTCGCACGTGGTGCCTATAAGTCCTTGTCCTCCCGATATGATATGAATGTAATCTTTGAATTTTGTTGTAACTAACCCACGTCGTGATTTGTAGAAGGTAAGTGCACATTGTCAAACAAATGCTAAGTGTGAAAGCCGGGTATGTAGACCCTCAAGCTATAGCCCAAATAAATTTTAATTGCCCTAAACGGTGGACACTGGATGCCAAAGAGCTAGCAGCTGCAAAGACTCTTCGGAAGAAAGAGCGCATCCGTAGTGCGAAGCTAAGGGAAGAGTCCCTTAAGGTTGCGGCATACATTGCCTTGGCTTTTAAAAATCTCCAACACCACTCTACTATATAGCTACCATACAACTTCAAGTAAGCTCAACTCTATATTTAAAGCTTTGTTCGATATATTTCATTCGATGCAAAAAGGCTTATCTAGTTCTATGATTAAATCCATGCAGCAACCACTGGATTTGTATAGCTGTTGACGTCGGGAGGAGCATGGCATGGGTCTTTGATTCATTAGATAAGGACACGGTGACATACAAAGACTTCATATCGATTCTCAAGAAGTATACATATCGACAATCCTCATTAGCTTATATGTTTGTATACATACTTGTAACGTTCACTTTTGGATACTAACAAGTTGTATTTGCTAAAATAATTCGAACAGGGCATTTAGGTTCTATGTCACTAATCATCATGGAAGGCATGATCCAGCAAGGAAGGAAAAGCTGGCTATAAAAACACTATGTGCGGTAAGTGTAACTTACTTCTTCAGTACTCCGTTACATGGCTGTCAAAAGCATTACTTAACATTTTCATATGCAAAACACACAGTGCCCCAAGCAGAAGCCTGGGAGTGTACATTGTGGATACTATATATGTTCTATGATGGGTAACACCGATGCCTACAGGAGACACCCCTTAAGGGTAAGTTTGAACCTCTTCACTCGTAGTATAAAAACTTCGTAAATGGTATGAAATACTAAACTGAAACTTGTTTTCTTGTAGTGGAGAGAAGAGAAATGAATGAAAAGAGACCCATACAAGGATGACCAACTCTTAGAGCTCGTCGGCGACCTTTGCAACTTCACATTGGACCAGATTGTACACGTCAGAGGCGCCTACCATGACCGAGAGTCTGACTTAGATACAAATCCTTAGTACCAACACCTTCGTGAGACTGAAAGGCTAGCTGTAAGACGTTGATAACAATGTGTATGGAATTTGTATATTTAATGATGGATTGTATATATTCATGTGAATTGGACTTGTAATTGTAGTTTATAGAATACTCTTATGCTTGTAGTCGCGGTCGTGGGGTGTTCGGCAACGCGAACGTTGGTCACGGGGCGTTCGGCAACGCGAACGCGGTTCGGAACGTTGGTCGCGGGGCGTTCGGCAACGCGAACGCTGTTCGGAACGTTGTTGTGGGACGTTCGGCAAAGTGATTTTAAATTGAAATTTTGATTTTTTTTTTGCGGGAAAACATACTGTAGGAGCGGTTCTAGATTGAACCGCCCCTACAAATACCTGTTTGTAGGGGCGGTTGGTACTACAGCCACCCCTACAAATCGATTTGTAGGGGCGGCTATAGGGGCGACTGGTAATAAGAGCCGTCCCTAAAAATATATTTATAGGGGCGGCTGGAAACACTAGCCGCCCCTACAAATCGATTTGTAGGGGCGGCCAGAGAACCGCTCCTACAAATACATGATTTGTAGAGACCCTTGCGTAGGGGCGGCTGGGCAAACCGCCCCTACAAATGGTCTACAACCGCCCCTAGAAATGCTTTTTGACGTAGTGACTTAAGTAAGAGATCACAAAGATGTTAACATATACACTACAGGACAGCCTGTCTTATAAAAAATGTATCAAGATAATAAGCTATCATGCAACATTTTCATTGTTTCAAACAAATATATACTTAAGACTGGTTCGAGTATTCACCATGTAATACTCGAAGGTTGCTGCGAGGTAATTCCCTTTTGCAAATGCTTCATTTCCTCGTCGTTTTGCATCAGCTATGATACCCTCTCTATCCTAAACATAAAT